AACGCACTGGATAGCTGGCTAATCAGAGCACACCTCGCTTTTCAGACCGATTAGTTTTGTAAAAATCGACGCGTTTCAGAAAGGCGGGGCATAGAGGAGAAACAATAATGTACAGTATGTGGAAAATAATGTGTTTGTTTTACTTTAAACAGCATAAACACATTTCATTACACCAAATACACAAAATAATGTTCTTTTTAGCAGCATCATATGACCCCTTTAATTAAAAAGTCAAACTACTTCAGCAAATGGAACTGGATTGGGGCAAATTCAAACCCACACCTCCTACACAAGTTCAATATGTCTGGAGCATACGAGGAAACCACTAAGCACAGATAACAGTTGATTATTTTGTAACTGGATAAGTGCAATTGGTATCACGGTCCAAAACCATCAAAACTCAAAAACCAAGGATCTCAAAGCAATGCTGCACTGTGAATATAGTCATGTCTAAAGGATTGAGAGTATATTTGTCAAGCCAACCTCCATACGAGGAGACGGGGGAGATCTGTAAGGGGTACAGGTCGCTGGAGGTCACGGCCTGCTCCTCGTTTTCCGTCACCACCTCGATGGTCTGACACACGTCAGGCAGATCGTTAATGATCAGGTGGTCGTCCGCTGGGCTCCGCCCACCAGCCTCTGAGGAAGGGAGAACAGGGAAGAGAGAGTGAATATGGAGAACAGTGAAGTGGGAAGTGAACTTGTTTCTTAAGGGGGAGTGAGCCAGATCTGGGTCATTTTTCACTCTGGACGCAATCCCTCCGGTCCATGTAGCTGAACTCTATTTCCCATGACTCCATATTGAAATGATGCAGCGGAAACAAGGTTAAAAACAAATTAACCAGCTGAAAGGCTGTTTGTAAATCAATTACGTTGCAGCTGATTTTGCTTTGCCAATTCGATGTGTATCACAAAACCCCACATGACAAAACAAACACACGCTAAAGCTCACCTTTTACCCCGATCGAGTGTGTTAGTGAAATTGAAGGGGGAAAGAGAGAACAGTGGATGTGATTAAACAAACACAGTAACAAGGAGATCTGGATAAACTGGTCCGCGACAGAATGATAGGTGTAGTGTGATCATATCCCATCCAAAATGTAAAAGACAAATCTTACTTAAATCTGTCAAGAACGTTTGAGTTGTATTGTCACCTAACCCCCCCGAAATAAATTAATAAAAAAATGTATACTTTGCATAAATTCTATATGTATTTGTATGTCGTTGTAGCATTTGTTGTACTGAATTGAATTCATGTTGTTTTTAAAAAATCATTGTGTCTGGAAAGGACACAAATTTTCATTAATAAAAATAAAATTATTTCTATGGGAATTTGGTGGGGAAAACTGACTTTTTTTTCTTTAAGAAAAAAAATAAATAAATATATATATATATAATATATAAATATGACCATTGACATAACCTTTTACAAAACCTTACCTTCATTATGTCACTAACTATTCATTTAACACCAGCCATTCATACAAATTCAACAGTAGGCAAATCAAAAGGCTCTTTACTAACTCAAACTGCCAGCATTGTGAAACACTGGGTTTACATGTGTTGGCGATGTGAACACGGCTGCTGGCATTGCGTATAAAACTTACTCTATAGGTCAACTTCAGTGCCATAAGTAGTTAAAGTCTATAAAGTTTTTGATTTTGTAGTTTTGTGAAGGCAGAGAAATGTGAGAGAATGTCAAACAGCTGTGAAGTGATGCATGTGTTAAACTAGGACAGGAGAGGCACAGCAAAATAAACTGTTGTAAGAGAAGCCTAAAGCATTCTGGGTTTTTGCAAAAAGTGGCTGAGGAACACAGAACAAAATGCTGTTATGTTTCAAAGACCCTTTCATATTCTCTGAAACCACAAGTCATGCTTTTTTAAAGAGAATCCTAAAATAAACTTGAGAGATAACATCTTTTAACAACTTAATGTGTAATAATAATACATTTGAAAAAAAAATATAAGAATTACTATTTGATACATACAGTATATACAAAGTGTATTATATTATTAAATAAAATAATAAATACACATTAAGCATTCAAAAGAGTTTTGTTTTTAAGGGTTATTTTAAGTTTTTCTTTAAAAAAGAATGAATTTAAATGGGTAATATATTTAACAAATATTTAAAATAATAATAATAATAAAAATATATTTGAATAAAATATTTATTGATTATATTTGCTACATATATAAGTTAATTATTATTATGAATTCATTAATTAAAAATAATAAATGCACAACAAGCCATTCAAAAGTGTTATGTTTTAGGGTCGTTTTAAGTTTCTCTTTAAAAAAGCATGACTTGTGCTCTGGTTGAACTTGGACAGAATTTGAAAGGATAATATATTTATAACAAATACTATATTAATAAATTCATACTTTTTTTAAAAGAGAAACTTAACATAACCATAAAACCCAACACTTATAATAGCTAACAATACCTAACATAAAAATAGCTTGATGTATATTTATTATAATTATTTTAATATTCATCATTAGTAGTAGTAGTAGTATTTTTGTATCAAATATATTTTCAAACATTTATTATTATTGTTATTATTAAAATAAAATAATAATACTAATAATAAATACACCATTCAAGTCATTCAAAAGTGTTAGGTTTCAGGGTTATTTTAAGCTTCTGTTTAAAAAAGGCTCAAATTTTAATACTCCCTCAAATAGCAAACAGATCTGTCAAACAGATTTTCTTTAGTCTAGAATTTAGCTAAATTACACCTGGACTGTGTTGCTAATAGATGACTCACAATGATCTGTTTTGGAGAGCAGAGAAACAAAATGTACAGCAAACAGAGTGTACAGATAAAAACTAACCCATAGAGCAGATAGCATTTCAGATCGTAACTCCTTTCTTGCTAGACTGTCGAGAACAGGTTCCACCTGAATATACTCACTAAACACAGGTGTGCAGGGCGGAGCAGGAAGTTCACTACCAACCTGTACCGTAGTAATCTGCCTCCTGCTTGACTGTGACTGGGGTTTTACAAGCTGAAGAGCCATTACTGTTTTCCCAACTTGAAGGCACAGGGCATGGTCGCACTGCCTGCGAACACATTATATTCACATCTGTGTCAATTAATCTCATAACCTTTTATTGATTAGAGCATTTCTGACAGCTACAAAATATACACAAGAGTGAACGCCCATACCTTTATCTTTTCTTCTTTTTCAATTCCTCTCTTTTTTCCTTTGAGAAACAGACACACAAATCTAGATCAGTGCATGCAAATAAATAGCACTTCAGAAAGTATCAAAACGGCAGATGTCACAAAACCTGTCAAGAAGATTTCTAGAGCCTATTTCACCCCAAAATCATAACAAAAAACAGGATATTTAATTTGATCTTAAATATGAAAAAAATGTTTAGGGCCATTAAGATGTTTCACAATATAATATTTAATTTAATTAATTTAATTTATGCATTTAGCAGACGCTTTTATCCAAAGCGACTTACAGTGCATTCAGGCTATACATTTTTTACCAGCATGTGTGTTCCCTGGAAATTGAACCCACAACCTTTTGCGCTGCTAACGCAATGCTCTACCACTGAGCCACAGGAACAATATTATGCTGTTTTCACTATAATGTAAACATTTTTATCTTTATATAAATGATTCTGTATGCTTTACATTTCATAGAATTTTTTTGTTTGTAATTATTATTGTCGGTGGCAATTGTTTTTGTTTAACATGACATTATTTTCATGAAAATTAAGCACATTTATTCTCACACATACACATAATGTGCGTGTGTATACACACAAAGTTATTCATGCATATGCAAAGTCTAATAATTTTTTTTAGGTGAAATATGACAAATGTTTGACAAATTTTCTTGTCAGCCTTTATGAGATTCGCCCCAAAAAACTATTTTTAAAGACAGATGTTTCGCAATATACTATTACATAGTAGTTTTACTATAATGCACCTTTTTTTATCACGTGTGTGTGTGTGTGTGTGTGTGTGTGATTAAATGCGTTTAATTTTCATGAAAATAATGTAGGGGGAAAATAATTAAATTCAAAGTTATTCATGCATGAAATAATTTCTTATTTCTTTCTGATATTTTTTGTAGGTGAAATATGACAAACATATTTTCAGCTTTTGTGAGATTCACCCAAAATCTTCAAATTTTTTAGATGCAGATCATAGTGAAAATCACAGGCAGACTAAGTGGGATCATACCATTCTTAGGTGTGATTAAACAAACATGACAGAAATGTCTTTAAACTGCACATCATTATGTGCAGCGTGTCAGAAGGAAATGAAGGCTGGTCTCTGTGATGCAGTCAGTGTCAGCACTGATGTGTGATCGACTGACCTCTCTTTGAATGCCTCTCAGACGCTGACAGCATCTTGTACACCCTGAAGGCGTTTGTTCCCTTTTTGATGCTTTTGTCTTTCACCTCCTCTATGTCAGGCAGGGAGTTCATTGCACAGCGGAAGTTCGCCTTCCATGTTTTGGGGTCCGGTTTGTCACCTGGTTGATATTTCCCTAAAAAAATGGCAGTCAAAAACTGGATACACATAATGCAGAATGACAGTTTACTATCACTTCAGCTCTTTATATCTGAATTGACATTATTAGCTGTAAACTTTCAATGAAGCTCAAACTATAGATAAGAATAGGAATATCATGGAGACATATTGTTGGACTCTTTTGACCATAAACACCCAAAACACCCTAGCAACCAACTAGCAAAATCCTAGCAACCTCCCAACACAGAATACCCTAGGAACCAACAAGTAAAACCCCAGCAACCACCCTGAACACCCTAGCAACCAACAAGTATCCACCCTAGCAACCACCCAACCCAGAATGCCCTAGAAACCAACAAGCCAAACCATAGCAACCACCTAGAACACCCCAGTAACCAACTAGTAAAACCGTAGCAACCACCCAATCCAGAATACCCTAGGAACCAACAAGTAAAACCCTAGCGACCACCCAGAACACCCTAGCAACCACCCACCCAAGATTATCCTAGAAACCATAGCAATCACCAAGAACACCCCAGTAACCAACTAGTAAAACCGTAGCAACCACCCAACCAAGAATGCCCTACAAACCATAGAAACCACCTAGAACACCCCAGTAGCCAACTAGTAAAACCGTAGCAACCACCCGATCCAGAATACCCTAGGAACCAACAAGTAAAACCCTAGCGACCACCCAGAACACCCTAGCAACCACCCACCCAAGAATATCAACCAAGAATACCCTAGAAACCATAGCAACCACCTAGAACACCCTAGTAACCAACTAGTAAAACCCTAGCAACCACCCGATCCAGAATACCCTAGGAACCAACAAGTAAAACCCTAGCGACCACCCAGAACACCCTAGCAACCACCCACCCAAGAATATCCTAGAAACCAACAAGCCAAACCATAGCAACCACCTAGAACACCCCAGTAACCAACTAGTAAAACCCTAGCAACCACCCAACCAAGAATACCCTAGAACCCACAGCAACCACCTAGAACACCCCAGTAACCAACTAGTAAAACCCTAGCAACCACCCGATCCAGAATACCCTAGGAACCAACTAGTAAAACCCTAGCGACCACCCAGAACACCCTAGTAACCAACAAGTAACCACCCTAGCAACCACCCAACCCAGAATATCCAAGCAACCAAAACCCTAGCAAAATCCAAACAAGCGAAACCCTAGCTACCACCAAGAACACCCTAAAATCCATCTAGAAACCCTAGCAACCATTCATAACTCCCTAGCAAATGCAATTCAGCATGCCAACAACTACTAGACCATCTTCGCAAATAGGTCAGCGCCATTCAAACTGTTCTAACAAAAATGAGACCTAGTTTGATCTAGGTCTAGTTTGAATATTCACAATCGCATCCTTACATTTTAAGAACGTTCTGTTTGTACAGTAAGTATATGTGCATTTATGTGCACAACTGCACATATGACAGTCTGCGTGCTGACTGCACCTGTATGGATGGCCCAGTTTCGGAAGAGCGGCGCATCTTTCTCCACGTCCCAGCCGTGTCGCGCAGCATGCATCCATGGAATCTGGAATAGTCTCTTCTCCTGCAGGCAAAGAACATGCAAAACATGTCACAAGCCAAGACACACCCTAAATGCACTGCGTTTGTGCACACAGTCACATTTATATGACAAAATGCTTCACAAACAATAGCATCTTGCTCATGGCATGTGTAGTTGTAACAAAACAATGCAGTAAAAAGACAAGTTTAAACACAGTCACAGTACCTTGTTCACCCATTTGAGCCCCAGTATTTGACAAGAGTTTATCTGCTCTTCCAACCATGGTCTCATACGCATTCTCTCCACCGGCATGCTGGCCTAGAGAAAGAGAGAGTGAGTCGAAGAGAGATCTGGAATGTGTCAAAGTTTGACAGCAACTTTTCCTCCTTCAACAGGTTGTACATTCTATATCTAGGAAGCACGATGACAAACTTTAACCCTATTTCTAAAAACAAACCTCCAGCAGAGACCATCTGAATCACAATTTACTGAAAGTTACTGTAAACAACATGATTATGAGATATGATTCATCTTTGGGATTTCATGAAAGCAAGAGTCAGGACATGAATGACAACAAATAGAGGATGTTGGAGTGTGTGTGTGTGTGTGTGTGACGTGTGTGTGTGTGTGTGTGTGTCTGTGTGTGTGTGTTAGAGAGAGAGAGAGTGAGTTTATCTAAGAGTACATGGAGTACATGTGGGCAAACCTGTAATATCAATCATGCAAGATGACAGACATGAGAAGTACTTGATGTTTCTTGATCTGCTTTCATTTGACAAAGCACAAATCATAAGTTACCGATTAACCAATTCAAGCTCATAAAAAGGTTTATAGTTAATCACAATGAAAACTCACGCTTTAAAATCATCTGTTTGTCGCTCAGACCTTTGAGCTTTTATGGTCCATTGGGAAATGAGAGCGAGCAAAGGCAATCATAACATAGACCAACAACATACAGGAATTACACTGCACACTACATATAACATAAGCACAGATAGGCACAATTATGAACCCAAAAAGAAAAAGAAATAAAAAAGCTATATTTTGAAATATATACATAAAACCACACAAAAAAGTAGGGATGCATGATATATTAGTCACATATAGCTGCTGTTAGTGATTTTTAGTTTATTTATATTGGCTAATATTGAATATATAATATAAGACATTTGTTTCTGTCTGTTTCTAGATGGTAAACTAATTCTGCCATCATACAGTGCCAACATAAATGAATAGCATTAGATTATAGCAAAGAATTAGCACTATTTCTTAAAGAAACTTCTCATCTAAACTATTTATGTAAGCTATTCAACTTTCTCATTAACTATTCGTCTGTATGTTAGTCTTTCATACTATATATTTTAACACTGTAATGCCCAAATTCAATCATCACATGATCTGAAATTGAAAAATAACTATTAATTTTAGTTTTTATTGCATTTTATTACCAAACATTCATGTTATAAGAATTTTAAGCTATATTTATCATATTTTCAAACAACATTTGGATTCAGATATTGGTGTACCAGTTTATGACAGATCATTTCCATTACGGTGCTCATGTTATACCCAGTACATGTCCATGTAAGTCAATAACAGTAACAATATCCAGGGTAGTAATAGTGCAATTGGTAGTAATAATATCCACACGTCCGTGCAAACTTCTCAACAACATAATTTGACATTAAAAGGGCGTTATTTATCAGTTCTGCTCAGTACTTACGGTGAAGTTACATTGCAGTGTCCCAATCATTCTTACAGCACACTAAATCAGATGAATTCAACCTCCCCAAATAAGTGCGATAGTGTTGTCAACTCAACTCGATAGTGAAAATAAACATTCCTTGATTCCCATTGGATCCAAACACCCCCATGACTTTCGATTTTACACTCACCCCAGCAACTCTACGTGGCCTACAGCATAAACATCCACTCATATATATATATATATATATATATGCATGAGCCCCATAAATACATGCGGAAATGCAATTAATTACCTGCGACGCGTAGAAATCAATCTAGTGATAAAAGCAAAGAGTGTATGAAGAATCTTGACAATTTGTAGTTCTCGATAACAAAACGAAAAGTCAAATGGGTTTGATTTCGCTCTTCAGATCGAAAGCAAAACAAGTGAAGGAAACAAGCTCTTGGGTGGAAATCCCCAGTGTGCGTGTGTGTGAGTGTGTGTTGTGCGCTTACTTCGTGTTTACACATCCTACTACGGCCAGGGTTTGGATAAGTAATATTAACGACGTAGCCGAGACGTTCGCAAGCTGATTGGCTGGCATACAGACAACTTCATAAGAGGGCGTGTAGATATAATAAACGTAGGAGGTAGTCAAGGAAAGAACGCCGTCACGGGGAAGGCTTAGCTCATGAATATTAATTACGTTAATTAATTACGCACTGATTGGCTGAGCGGCAGAAAGGTGGGTGGCCGTCAACGAAGGACTCTTTCTATATTTGAGTAGTTTTAAGAATTAGTTTTCTTTTCCAAATGTAACTTGATTGCCTAATACAAATAACACAAATCCATATGTATTACCCCACCCAAAAATATATACATATGATATTGCTCGTAAATATTACGAAAACATAAAATCCAATGCTTTGTTGCTATATTATTGTATATTGTAATTATTTTTATGAACATCACTTGTACCTTATTTTATTATTTTTCCCTTTAACAGCTTTGTTTATTTCGCAATACTACATGTAAAACAACAAAATACTTTGAAATCCACATTTACCGGACGCTCAAGGGAGTTCAACCCGAGCAACGTCTCTGGACCTACTAAATATTTATAAGCTGAGCTTTATATATATATGAGCTCCATAAATACATGCGGAAATGCAATTTATTACCTGCGACGCGTAGAAATCACTCCAGGAATAATAGCAAAGAGATTGTGAAGAGTCTTGACAATTTGTAGTTCTCGATAACAAAACGAAAAGTCAAATGGGTTTGATTTCGCTCTTCAGATCGAAAGCAAAACAAGTGAAGGAAACAAGCTCTTGGGTGGAAATCCCCAGTGTGCGTGTGTGTGAGTGTGTGTTGTGCGCTTACTTCGTGTTTACACATCCTACTACGGCCAGGGTTTGGATAAGTAATATTAACGACGTAGCCGAGACGTTCGCAAGCTGATTGGCTGGCATACAGACAACTTCATAAGAGGGCGTGTAGATATAATAAACGTAGGAGGTAGTCAAGGAAAGAACGCCGTCACGGGGAAGGCTTAGCTCATGAATATTAATTACGTAGCGAGACGCTCGCGCACTGATTGGCTGAGCGGCAGAAAGGTGGGTGGCCGTCAACGAAGGACTCTTTCTATATTTGAGTAGTTTTAAGAATTAGTTTTCTTTTCCAAATGTAACTTGATTGCCTAATACAAATAACACAAATCCATATGTATTACCCCACCCAAAAATATATACATATGATATTGCTCGTAAATATTACGAAAACATAAAATCCAATGCTTTGTTGCTATATTATTGTATATTGTAATTATTTTTATGAACATCACTTGTACCTTATTTTATTATTTTTCCCTTTAACAGCTTTGTTTATTTCGCAATACTACATGTAAAACAACAAAATACTTTGAAATCCACATTTACCGGACGCTCAAGGGAGTTCAACCCGAGCAACGTCTCTGGACCTACTAAATATTTATAAGCTGAGCTTTTGCCATAGTAGTTTTTGCGCTGGTCTGCTCATTGGCTGCAGGCTGAAATGCGAAAGTCGATTTCATTTTCACTTCCTCGTTGTTTCGTTATTGCTTCTTAAAGGCGAAGCAGGCAGAAAGAAACTTAAATTGCAACATGCAAATATGATATCGCACTTTAGTGTTGTTATGTGTGAATAGAAAATTGTTGTCCAAGAGTTTCATGTTTCTGAGACTTCATTTACGCTATATCACATATATGTATATGCAACATTGCATTCATCTTTTGCATGTTTTTATTTAGTGCTCTACTGTTGTGCATATAATACTTCTGTCCATGACTGTAGCTGGTATGACATTTCCAGAAAGATCTTGAGCTGTAGAGATGAGAGAAGCAATGCAAGTTGTTAAAAGCATTCTAGCTGTGCAATTCTATCCTCATTGTGTCTTTACACACACACACACACAGAGAGAGAGAGAGAGAGAGAGAGAGAGAGAGAGAGAGAGAGAGAGAGAGTCT